CTTGTCCATGTCTTCATTGAGCCGTACTTTAGGAGAACACAATGTCTCCATATCTATTGCAATCTGCCCATTTGGCCCAATGTAATGAAATACTTCATTACAAATTTATAAATTGAATCTTCACAGCTTTTTGCTACATTCTCTAGAGTATATTTATTACCCTTGCATTGAACTCCTTTATTTAATTCTCAACATATAAATATTCACAGTTTAAACCAAAAAATTCCCAAAGTGCTTTGCTGGATGATCATATTTAGTTGAAGGTGAACATTTGAGTAACAAGGATTCTCCATCAAACAAACTGCTTCCACCAGAGTTCTCAGGAAACACTTGTATTGTATAAAATATAGTTGTCTCTCACTAAATGTACTGGCCCAAAGCTTCGTAAAAGTTCTGGAGATACACTAAAAGCTGAGAGAACCTCGGTCTCTCATCTGGATTTTTGGCCCAACAACCAGACATCATGCTGTACCTACAAAATAGGAACAAGCATCTTAATCAAAGTCATCCAAGGCATTGAAATCAATAATGAAAAGAGACTATCATTTAACTTGAAGTAAACTACTGATGTACAAAGTTGAACCAAGTTGGATGAAAGCTGTAGGAAGCATAGCAGACCTAAAGAAATTTTAAAAATGCTGCATGAGACATGAAAAGCATTGGTTTCGGAAGTTTCAGAAATCTGATTGGTCACTTACAGTTCATCAGGACAGTTGATTGGATGTGCTATCCTGTAACCCTCTCTAAGGTATGCTGCCATTTCAAAACAATCAACTTCTGAGTAAGGTTGTTGAGCCAGAGACATAAGTTCCCATAATGTTACTCCAAAAGACCACTGAAACAGAAATATTTCACTCATCACATTCTTCGTATCGTTTAATTACAAAGAAATTGAACTTTAAATATTCAGGATCTTTCGATAAAACAGTAAATAGGGCGGGGTATTGGCCTGAGATTTCGTATTGCGATATATTGCGATATTTTTAACTGTATTGCGATATGTATTGCAATATTTTCAATGTAATAAAAATGGCATTTTCTTACTATATTTACTTTAATTTACATGTAGAATGTACATAACTATGATAAGTAACCAACACAGGAAAAAAAATCTTGTTAAATTCATTTCAGTTATGCTCTGAAATGTTCCCACAAACAACTTCTGACTTACTGTTTGTTTCATAACAAACTTTTATAAGTCCATTTTATATTTAATGACAAAATTCCTTAATCTAAGCATATTGCTAATATATCGATATTACAAAATCGTATTGCGATACGATATTTTTTGTCATTGTATTGCAATATATTGAAATATCGATATTATTGCCCAGCCCTAACAGTAAACTATTAATTTCTTTTTATATTGTTTGAATACGTTAACTCAAATTCTCTTAAACAAAGTTATTTTTAATTAAGAATACAAATCAGAGATTAACTCACACCCCTGACCAGCCTGTACCCCTCTCCTGACTTACCACGTCGCTATTGATGGAGAATCTTCTCTCTACTAACGCCTCCAGAGAGAGCCACTTAACGGGGCGATTCTCATTGTCCCCTAAACAATGGTAGTCAGCGGGGAACAAATCCCGGGACAGGGAATTATCTGTTAACTTTAACTGCAAGTCATTGTCTATGCTGAAAATAAAAACAGGTAAATGTAAATGGAAAGTGTCAGAAAGAGGTACTGTATCCTTATTAACCTACCGGTACAACCTTTGGCCTTAAAAGTAGTTACATGTATACGGTACGAATGAATAATTTAAATTCTCATCTTCTTATACTGAAATCCTTATGGAATATCAAAATCCATAATGTATCATAAAATATTACACATGTATTGAATAGCATGTTCCACTTACACACAATTTCTTGTTGCTATGTCTTTATGAAGTATTTTCTTTCTGTGTAAAAATTGTATGGCTTTCACAATTTGTATTGCTAAGTATACAAGCTGTTGTGTGGATAGAGACTGCAAAAAAGAAAAAAATGTGAGTAAATCAGTTCTTAACTGAAAATACTGATATAATAAAGAAGACATGTTTAAATCAAGGAACAAGGACAAGTGGGTGGAAAAGACCTTCAATGCCACCAAATCTCATGTGAATTGACATGTTTTCTAATCTAACAAGTATGTAAATTTCAAATATACTTTTAAGCAGCTTAAAACCATGCTTTTTGATTATCTAGTGCTTGTCATTTTCAAATAATATATAGTTCAAACTAAATGTACTAGCTTTATTAATTTAAGAAGACAACATTTCTTAGTATACATGGTCCCATAAGAATACTATGTTACTGTATACATACAGGTCACAGAGTAAAGATCCTTGATCATTAACTTACATAATGAGAGCCAGTCTCTGAGACGCGACATTTGAGGAGGAACTTTTTGAGGTTGCCCTCGGAGGAGTAGGGGTAAATGACGTAGGGGGGCTGCCCGGACTCAGTACAGGCACCGATGACAGGGTAGATGTTCTGGTGGATGACTCCCATCATCATACAACTCTCTGTCAGGAACAGGTGGACCTGGTCGGGCCTCGCCTCATCTATAACAAGGCTTTCTTATTGAGTGTGACAATAGGATGTTGATGTTAGGGGAACTTACCCAAACAAAATTGATTAGTCTTATAGTTTGCGTACAGTCTTTTCAACATTAATATGACCAATACATACATATAATTAAAGGTGCAGATTTTATTATGATATCTTATTTTGTAAAGTTCTCTCTGCTGAGTCATATTTGACAATGTATCCTCTTTTTTAACACAACAATCTTTGCTTATATTTTATCATTAATAAAATAAATTAATACTTAATTTTATAATAAAAATATTTTTGCTAAATTTTGAAATCATCCCATACTGGAATTATAGTAAGATATCTACCTGAGACAGTTTTAATCATAATTCCTTGATCCACTCCTATTTCTGTCTCACTCACTGTTTCACTCAGTATTGTCCCTTGGTAGATTCTTCCAAAGGTCCCTACAAAACATGAAATCAACTAAGTTAAACACATGAAATAAATGAATGCTTGAATTATTTAATATTTCAATGTTTAATAAAATTCATTTATCTATAATCATACATCATTATTTGTCTCCATTAAAGATTCATTTCAATATTCCCATAATAAAAGGTATTCAATCCATTATGAAGCTTTCATTTCACATATGTAATAAATATTAAATGGAAGTAGATTGTAGGTTAATGCAATAAATCTTACCTTCTCTTTATTATTCTCGTAGTGGGATCCTTTGATTTTCTAATACATGTACTGTAAATCTTACCCTCCATCTGTAATTCTTATGCAATCCTTCGATGTTCTAATGCTATAAATCTTACCCTCCATTTGTAATTTTCCTGTGCGATCCTTTCACATTCTTTTTCTAAAAGTCTTAACCCATGTACAATACTATTGTTTGCAGGTAAGTTTAAAGTTTCACATTACATCACAATCTAGTTGACAGCTGCGCTCAAGGTAAATTGTACACGCCTCCTAACCGCAAGCTTTACGACTGGAACTTTCGTCTTATCCCTGATTGGTTGCTCGTGCAACAGACTTTCCGTGTCAATGTTGATAATCTGATTTGACCAATGACGTGAAGTGTTTACGATGGATGCATCTGACGGAAAAGATCGTTACGGAACGTAAAACTTTACACTTAGGCCATAAAAAATTAATTGTTTCTCAGGCCAAAAAATTCAAAATTCAATGCGGCAGGCAGGCTTTTTTTTTTTTTTTTTTTTTTTTTTTTTTAAAGCAGGTTTTACACCTTTTTTAAAGCCATTTGCTCAATAAAATGATAATATCTACTAATTCTTAATTTTCTGTCTCTAAAATTAGTTATAATATGTATTCAACTTTGAATAATGTTATTCCAAACATTAATTTAAAAGTTAATTCATAAAATACCGTAAATTTAGAAGAAATATATTGTTTTTCTAATAAAAACGTCTATCTTAGTATTTATGAAAAGGGGAATAACTCGATTTTCTTTTTAAACTTTGAAAAATAGAAAATTGAGTTACTTCCCTTTTCAATATGTCAATAAAATTGATCAATGCGGCCGTTTTTGAACTGATGCGGCGGTGCCTGAGAAACTATTGATTATTTTTTTTTGGCCTTAGCTGCAAACAATAATACTCCTTGTGTGACCCTTCAATGTTTTAATGCTATAAATCTTACCCTCCATTTGTAATTCTCCCAATGCGATCCTTCGATATTCTATTGCCACTTCCTGCAGGATGTCCCTAGGATCAGGAGGAAAGCACTCAGGTATGGGGGATGGCCCACAGGAGTAATTTCTCACTGAAATCACAGAGTACATATCTGTTTAATATAAATATCACAGACTAAGCTCCATCAAGGTAATATTTTTTTCCTACTGAATCAGATCTAATATTACAATTATAAAGGAGACTAAACCAGAAGCACTGCTGTATGTATCCTTATTAACAGAAACAAGGACACTTAACTGATTTAAGGATGGTTGATAATGAAAACAATGAATGCAAGAAAAAACAAATAACCCAGCATGCATAAATTTTCTAGGAAAATAAGATCCTCCCCCCTTTACTTTCTCCTCCTAGAAATGAAAATATGACCAATTTAAATCATTCTGAAAGCTGTTTAACACTAGTAACATATGAGATCAGACTTACCACTGGATCCCTTACAGCTGCTGTTTAACACTAGTAACACATTAGATCAGACTTACCACTGGATCCCTTGTAGCTACTCTCCACTGGTGTCTCCGATCTTAAGAACGACTGACTCTGCTGGTTAGAGAGCTGCTGGGAACTGGTGCTGTCACTGTCAAAATAAACAGCAAACTTACAAATGAAATCACTGCTTTTGTTAACTTTTTTCCTGCATTTTAACATTTACAGGTTAACTTTTTGTAATTTTTTGTTGCATGGCTAATTGAGTGAACTGTAATGTAAAATGTGCCAAATAGTAAATGTAAAACTCCATCATATAGCACAATGAAAAAAAAATGGCAAAATTTTTTCTGACTTCAGTGTCAACACGATTCAGTGTTTTTGGAGCCAAGCTTCCTATGCATTAGTATTGATCATGTTTTAATGTGTAAAATTAGCAAACAAGAAGTAGGAAAAATAGCAACTGCTACTAAAATAAGTTAGTTTACTTTATCTGTACATTATACATTCATAAATTCAAGTTTTTGTATCAAAACTTCAATTTTTTCTCATAGTTTTTTATTTTTTTTCTTTAAATCCTTAAATTCATTCAAGTTAAACCTGAGGACTGCAAATTAACCAGCTTCAAGAGAAAGCATAATGCTCATGGAGTTACACAACATTAAATGCAATTTGTATGTCTTATATATTCATCACTGATGATGGCGACAAAATACTTCAATGCTCTCAAGTATTTTATGAAGAGGCAAATGCATGCATTAAGAGTCTACAATGGAAAAAGTAGTTTTAATCTTAGTGTCCTAAGAGCATTAACACCTGCACCACATTACTGCTGTAAACACATTGGATTATCTAAATTAACATCTTGATGATACTTAAGTTCATTTCATGACATTTATGTTAAACTGAGATTACAAAACATCTATCTGTTATATATCTTGTAAGTGGCAATTAGTAAAGTGAAATTATGTACATGTGTATTCTATCTTTGCCAGAGTTTGTATTTTCCATTGCTGACACTGAGCAGAAAGGAATGAAGTCATGATGTCTGAGTAAACATTTCATCAAATCACATTTTCCTTGTTTGTATTCCTACTAAATACTTTTTCACTTCATTTTGGTTTTCCAAGGTAATAATATTCAACTGTACATTAGTTTGAAATTGAACCAATTATGAGTTTATTTGAGCCCCACAAGAAACTTCATATGTACCTTATAACTTTTAAAAGCATATAAAGTGCATGATCTTTTAAGTGACTCTGTAAAATCATAACAATTTTTTCTATAAACATTTAAAAGAAATGATGTATAGCCCATTTAAATTTTTAAATGTTCTGGGCAATTTCAGCAGCTAACTTGTATCTAGTTTCCAGAAATACATTTGTGGGTGGAAAACTACATTTCACCATTATACAATTATCAGAGATAGTACTATGGCCAGCATCATTTATCTAAGGATAAAATTCAAGGAAATCCATATTTTTTTAATTTGAGGACATGCATTTTCCTGTCCATTTGGAGTCCCTGATCTGTTTACATGTGAGCGGTGATAATGTTCCTGTCATTGAATGCTGTGGAGAGCTGAGCCTAATTAAGGGAGTTTATCTGAATGAACTGGGATATCAATGTCACTCTACCGACATCACCAAAACCACTGATGTCATCTCGACTCCATCAACCCACAGAAGATAATTCATTGTTACATAATAATTCATTATATTCCGTTATTGACACATATAAGAGCTGGTTCCAGAGATTATTGAAGAGGCAGTTAAATCTCAGCTATTATTTATGGCATGTTGTTTTACACAGAATTCATTTCTAAATGGACTAAAATTTAAATGAAAATATCATGTTTGACACTCGTGCTTCAATTGCTATTTAAGAGAAAACATTGTTGAGCACATGCATAACTTCTGGTTGTTAAAATACTACTTGCATTAGAAATCAAGACATGAAAATAACCTGTAACTTATAAAGAAAAGCACAAATAATATACAGTACAACCTGTATTACATGACCTATCAGGGGAAACTCTAACTCAGTTAATCCTAGAGAAGGCAATGTTTGAATTACATGCATAACAACCTATAAATAGAAAACGAGGAATTGTTTTCCTGTTCCTTGATCTTCATCAAAGTTTTGAATCATGTTCACTCTTCTTTGTAAAAGAAAATTTCAATAAATACTTCTTCCTACTAGTTTCTATTTATGCATTATGGATTAGTTTAATTTTTGGAAGAAAATCCCAAATAAGTTTATTTTATTGTGTTCAATACATAAGACAGTGTATAGATTAAAACTACATCTGAAATCTTTAATGTTCATCATTTGAATGGCAAAAATAGACTAAAAGACAATATATGGGATGGGGTGCATGAGGAAAAAAAGTATCTGTTTAAATATTCATGAACAAAGAGAGGTAACCTCTACAAATATTATTTATTATGTTATGCACATCAAACATATTTTTGATTACGGTATTAACGTCCTGAGTCCTGAGCTTGTGTTTTTACTTGTTTGTACTTGCGAGCATTAGATCCAATTTTCCAGTAAAAAGTGTATTATAATTGTACTCACTAGTATTTGATCCTCTCTAATCATCCCCTATTGTTGCCTTTTTGAGTATTGAGATTGTGATTTGTACTTACTAGTATTTAATCCTTTCTGAGTATCCCCTATTGTTGCCTTTTTGAGTATTGAGGTAGTAAATTGCCACAGCCATTGCTATAAGGATGATCACAGCACATGCACACCCCACTGTTATGTAGAAGATACGAGTTGACATCTTAACATTGGTGGTAGCATCTGAAAACACAAAATCATAAGTTCAGTGTTAGACCTGCAATGATCTAGTTTCAATTTGTCAAAAATACATAGAAAACAGCTTTTTTCAGATATTGACAGTTTTCCATCACTTTCTGCATTTATTGGTAAAAGTGAGAAAATTTGGGATTATTTTAATAAATTAATAAATAAAATGTTTTTATAAAGATTCTTCATGTATTTCTGTTATCATATAGATTTATGTACAGTCTACATTGACATGGCTGTGTGTTTGTCTGTACGTTATACAGATCTATATACCATCTACAGTGACATAGCTGTCTGTTTGTCTGTACGTTATACAGATTTACCTACTGTCTACTGTGACATGGCTGTGTGTTTGTCTGTACGTTATACAGATCTATATACCATCTACAGTGACATGGCTGTCTGTTTGTCTGTATGTTATACAGATTTACCTACTGTCTACAATGACATGGCTGTCTGTTTGTCTGTACGTTACACAGATCTACCTACTGTCTACTGTGACATGGTTGTGTGTTAGTTTGTCTGTACATTATATACATGTAGATCTACTTACCATCCACTGTGACATGGTTGTGTGTTAAGTTGCCCAGGTGTGGAGGGATGGTCTGTATTTTGTTGTAATAAAGCTTGTTTCTCAGTGTCTTCTGGTATCTACTGTCTGCAAATCATATAAACAATAGATAAATACAATGTTAAAATGTTTAAGAAATTCAAAACACTGTACAAATATAAGTTCATGTATAATAATATAAACTTCCATAAGGAAATACTGAATTTTGATACATGTACTCTTTTTAGATGATATTTCTTGTATATTAAGTGATGAAGATATGAAAAACCATTGCATTATATCACTTATTTTCTGTAGGTGCATGGCTGCAAAGGATCCATGATGCAT